TTTATATAGTTTCTATGTAACTACTTGTATAAATTACCCAATAAAAGATATGAGCAAGGCCTCACCTTAAAAAAAAAGAAAAAAAAGAAAAAAAAGAAAAATAAAAAATAAAAAAACCAGACTTTCTATATTTTATCTTAAAGATAATAAGCAAACATTATAGAAAAAATTTGAAGCTATTTATTCAGATAGTTTAAAGCATATATTTTTTATGGGCCATTTAGCCAATGAAATTATGTTTACCAAGAAGATCTTGGTGGTTTATGCAATAACTGTAATAAATACAGTTATGCAGTATTTGAATTATTGATTGAACTTGTATAAAAATATATAAAACAAAAAAAAGAAAATATTAGTAATATAAAATTTTATAAATTATTTTTTTAAAAAAAATAACTATTATTTAGAATTTAGCAATTGATAAAATCAAAAAATTACATTAGTATATGTATCGAGGATTTGAAAATGAATTGCAAATCAATTCAAATAGTATAACTAAGCATACTATCTGTATAAATCATTGTCTCTTTTATGCTTTTAGTGAATGCATAAAATTTTATACTATGCGATATAACAAATATAATTAGTACTTTGAGATTTTTGCCTATCTTAAAACATTTTAACTATAATTAATCTTCAAATATTAGAAAAATGTGAAGAAAATTAGCTATTTTTTAGCACATCAAGCACAAAATACTTATTTTAGTTCTTAATTTAAAGTTTAATTATCAAAATTAGACAATATCAGAGCTATATTAATTTCTGATTATAAAATAAAAATTAATCCAAAGAGTGCATAAGAAGTTAAAAAGAAGTAGTTTAGTAAAGAGGATAGAGTTTGTATTTTATTTTAGTTTTGACTAAAACACAAAATACAATAATTAAAGTACAAGTATTTGACCATTAGTCAAATAATATTAAGCAAGATGCCTGGTTTATGGCATTTTCTTTTGACATTGTCTTTGAAGTTTTAGACCCAAAACCAGAATGGATCAAGATATTTTCTGATAATAGGTTCCATTATTGTTGTTCAGAAATAATGGCAATTGTAACTAACTAAAATCAATGGTATAATTTTGAAGTCCATGAATAGTATTTCTTTGAACCAGGTGAAGCAAAATCTATAGTTGACTCCCATTATACAACAGTAAGTATAATTAGATATTATAATTTGATGTACAACACTACAGAAACTCAAGTATAAATACATTATATAATTTACAGATTTCTTATGCAATTAAATATTATCTTCGAATTGGCAACAATATCAATTCTGGAAAAAAAATTAGTTTAGCTATTGAAAATTTACTAGAAACATCAGTTGCGCATATTGAACTTTGTAGAGATCATATGGCTGTAAAAACAATGAATAAAATATTAGAATTATTCTATTGGAAATAGCCAATTATTGGAGAGTTTGCTGGATTTGTACAAGGACAAGCATTATCAAATATTGAAAGTAGATTCAGTTTTCTCCTAAAGATTTAATGAGATTAGTTGACATCCAATACATAGATCTACTCCAATTGCATCTAACTATTTTCAGCCCAAAAAGCCTTGAACTATATTTGTTCTAGATAATAATAGTAGGCTTATTAGATCACTATTTTATTTAAAGAGAATGAATTTAATTTTGTCTGCTTTTAGTAATATGCCAAATGAATAATAACAATAAGGGTATGAATTAAAGTTGTATATTTTAGATAGTGTTCAAATCTGTTAAATTTTCTATCCAGATAACAGATTATATAGTTTATCCAAATAATATATATTACTTAGGTAATTATCTGAATAATAGAATTATGAACAAATATAGGTATTGTATAATGTGTTTATTCAAAAGATAATATCTTTAGATAAATATATTATCCATATCTAAATACTAATTTTAGACCTTAAAATGAATATATTAAAATGTATTATATTTAGTTATTGTTCATGTGATATGATCATGTAAAATTTTTTGCCTTGATATTTTTGTCATAAAATGACATCATCATT